TTCGTAATGGTGTAAAACCTGATAATACTGAGCATATAATGACCTATATAGATATGAATAGTGAAGTAAGACCAAAGGGAATTAAACGAGTTCTTGAAGAACAAAATTTATGGATACCAGGTCTTATAAAAAAGTGTAATACATATAAAAAAACTAAGCCTAATCCAAACAACTTAAACTGTTGTGCTTCACGTATTCTTTCAGCTCAACCAGATTTTGCAACTCAAAAATTACACATACGAGAGGTAATAAATTTTTTTTTTTAAAAAAAAAAGATTTGTTAATGCCACCCCTTACTTTTGCTAATGCCACCTCCTTTATATAAAATATTTAATCTTTGACTTTTCAGATCCTAATTATAATTAGGGTTAGATTATGTAAGGGGTGGTATTAACAAAAATAAAGGATGGCATTAACAAGTCACAAAAAAAATTATTTAAAATCAATTTACTTATATATGTATAAATAATTTAGGTAATTGAAGCTGCTGGCTATATGTGTATCTTTTACCCTAAGTTTCATTGTGAACTTAATTACATTGAATCTGTTTGGGCTGAAGTAAAATATTATGCAAGACTTAATTGTAATTATATTTTCAAGGGCCTCAAAAAAACTGTTCCAAGAGCATTAGATTCTATTAATTTAATAAAGGTTCGCCATTTTGCTCGCCGTTCTGCATGCTTTATGAGTGCCTATGAACTTGGACTTACTGGAAAAACTGCCACCTTTGCAGTAAGAAAATATCATTCTCATCGTCAAGTTCCGGAAGATGTTCTTGAAGAATTTACTCGTGACTAAGATATTTTGAGATATTTTGGTTTTTCTTCTTTTTCATTCTAAAAATATGTATTTAAACATCAAGATATATATGTAACATAAATATATGTATGTACTATTTAAAAAATAAAATAAAATCTCGCAGAAGGTTGTGAAATCTAAAAGTCTTTCATCCTAATTTCACATACCATTGTGCAGGCAAAGATCTTTCGCTAGCTTTTTTTTTTGGAGTTAACTTTATTGGTAAGTTTTGAAAAATTACGAGAATATATACGAATTACTTTAAACTGTACGTATAAAATTAGCTAAGCCACAATGCCGATCATATAAATTTGGGTTTAACCATCACATTTTAAATTTGCTGTGTACGTAAGTGAAGATAGTTAGGGGTGTTAAAAAACTTGAGTAAACTCGAGTCGACTTGGTATAATACAGAGGTCAACTTAGTCAACTTCTAAATGACTCAAAAAAATCTTATGACTAATTCTCTAGATTTTATAGATTTTATTATGATAACGATAAAATAAACTATATATGATATACAGAACTATATATTTTTTTTTATTCAATAACTCCCTCCTTAAACCAACTTTTTAGGCCTAAAGAAGCTCTAACTGTATCCTCAAGAAGATTAGTTCTAGCAGAATTTATAGTATTCT